TATTTTAAGAAGATTATATAGGGGCATTTGAGGAAGAAAACTGGAAACAATATCTTGAATCCCCAAAAATGACAGTTATTTTGGGCTAAAATAACAAATAATTTAGGATGGAAGAACTATAATTTTATTTAATTACAAGGTGTCAAGGGTTAATCATGTTTCTTATTTGTGTCAATAGTCGTGCACTTACACCTGAAAGGCTATCACATGCAAAATTCTCTGGGATTGATGGTGTTGAAAATTCTCACAAAGTGGGGAATCGAGTGAATGGTTTTGGTTCTACTTTTCAACCACGCCTTGGTTCACATGATAGCTCTTCTAACTGCTCCAGTAACGTTTCAAGCAAAGTTTTAGATCGTTATATTGATGGTGAGCAACAGGGTGTGCAAGTGCCAGCAAGACCTCAGAACAAAACACTAGCTTCACAACTCGATGTTAAGAAACAGAAACCAAAGACTCAATCTTTGGTAGAAACCAGAGGGTCTCAACTTCAAGAATTGATGGAGAATAGTTTTCGGAATGAATCTCCCAGAAAAGTGGCAAAGAGAGTGGTGGAGAGACTTTCTCAAACCAGACTCTTGCCACCGAAAAGTAAAAAAGAATATGATGCTGATACTCCAATCACGATTGAAGATATCTACAGTGGGGATGCAACTGCATTTTCGGGTTCATATCTTGATGGTACTTCTCATAAAGGCTATTTGATGGATGTGTTAAATGAGGTAACCAGTGAGAACAATGAAAAAATTCCAAGCCTCCAAGAGAGGAAAATTTTCTCTGGTTACAAATTTAATGCCAAGGATTCTGATATTGATTTGATTAGGAAGTACAAGGATTCTGAGGAACGGGTAGTGGTGCTCTCTGAAGACTTTGAAGAACAGACCTTTTTCCAGAGTAGAGGATTCAATGTTCCTACATTGATCCAAAAAATTAGAAGCTTGACAGAGGAGAAACTCCAAATAGCCCGTGAGGTTTCATCTGCATTGCAATGCCATATCACTGAGAGGGCTTCTTCTAGGGAAGAAATGAAACTATTAAGAACTGAATTAGATTCACAGAAGCAAAGATTGGAAGATGAGAAGAATGAATTGCAGTATTCGCTGGAAAAAGAACTTGACAGAAGAACAAGTGAATGGTCACTCAAGCTTGAAAGGTATCATGCAGAAGAACATAGGCTTCGTGATAGGGTTAGAGAGCTTGCTGAGCAAAATGTTTCCCTTCAAAGGGAAGTCTCTTCATTCAGTGAGAAAGAGGTGGACAATAAAAGCAGGATTTCCTATTTAGAAAATCAGCTTAATGAACTTATAGGAAGATTAGAGGAACAGAGTGGGGAGAATCAAAATCTGCAGAAAAGTCTCTCTGAACTTAAAGAGAAGTACAGAATAGTACAGGAAGATCAAGATTGCCTCCGAAGGAACAGTGAAGAGAAGGTCAAAGAGTGTAAGGACTTGCACCGATCAATAACAAGATTACAGAGGACCTGTAGTGAACAAGAAAAGACAATTGATGGTTTAAGACTCTTCTGTGAGGAGATAAACAAGAAACGATCAGCGGAAGAGTTTGATAACCAATTGATTAAGGCACGTGTGGAGCATATTAGGTTGGTGGGTAACGAGTGTGCTCTAAGGAGGGAAGTGGAATCTTACAGGCATGAAGTTGATCATCTCCGTCATGAAAACATAAACTTGTTGAATCGCTTAAAAGGGGGAGGTCAGGATGCTACATTTAGGCTAGATCAGGAACTACTGAACCGTGTTAACTGTTTGCAAACTCAAGGGATATTGTTGGTTAAAGAAAGCACACTTGTTTGCGAGAAGTTGCTGGAGTATACAAAATGTACTGTAGATGGAGGGTCACAGGGGCAGTTTGTTATCGAGACTGATATAAAGCTCCAAGGCTTCAAGAGGGGGCTAGAAAATCTATCAAGGAGCTTACAAAACGTCTCTTTTGTACTGAATGAGAAGTCTAAATTTCAGACTTGTGGTTTGGAGAACAAGACACATCAATCAGATGACCACCAGAAATTTGAAGTAAGTCTGTAGGTGTGCTTTTGTGTTTGTTTACAAGTAGTTCTCTTGCGTATATGCGCGTGCGTTTAAAAAACAAAACACTTATGGTAATATTTGCAACCAAATAATGCAGTTGGGACTGAAATCAGAGACATTGCTGACAAGTTTGTTGCGTGAGAAGCTTTATAACCAAGAGTTGGATATGGAGCAACTTCATGCTGAGCTGGCAACTGCTGTCAGAGGTAATGACATGCTCAAATGTGAACTGCAAAATGCGCGAGATAACCTTTCATGTGCAACTCTCAAGACCAAAAATCTAGAACTTCAGGTAAGCCATCAACAATATACGCTGTAGTATGATAAGTTGGTATTTCATTATCTTTAAATTTAACTTTGCACCCCTGCAATAATGTCAAATAAGATAAAACATGTGGTGCAACCTGCAAAGTCAAATGTTGCAACTATGGGGGTGCAAAACCAGGTTTTTCCTTTATAAAATATTAATGAACCTGCTAGGCAAATTGAAAGGTGAGAAGAAGAGGCAAAGAAGAGAGGGAAGAGTGGTCAGTAATGATATTGACATATTGACATTTCTTGGGTTAGATGAGAGTATACATGTGGAGGATTTATCTGTTTTTCTTTATCTCGCTTTTCTCTATTTATCATTTTTAACTCCGGTTTCATATGTTGATTCATTTTGGCCAACCCCAAACTCTTTGGGACTAAGACTTGGATGTAGTAATTGTTGTATGTTTTTGTATTTTTCATTCTTTCCCGTCTCATTTCTCAATCAAAGTAGTTACTTGAGGGCATTAAATTGCAAGATCCTAGGGACATATAATGAGTTTCTTAGCATGTGTTGTTGTACTCTACAGGTAATCAAGAAAGATGAGAATATAAAAAAGCTTGAGAATGATCTTGATGAATGTATAAAGGAGTTAACGGCCGTGAAGGGGATACTTCCGAAAGTGACCCATGAAAGAGACATGTTGTGGGAAGATGTTAAGCAGTACAGCGAAAACAATATGTTGCTCAACTCTGAGAACAATGTGCTAAAGAAAAGAATTGAAACACTAGATGAAGAGCTACTCGTTAAAGAAGGTCAAATTTCAATTCTTAAAGACGCCTTGGATAAACCAATTGATCTTCTTTCAAGTCCAAGGGAATTCCTAGTTTGAAATTATGCTTACAGAGTTACAGGATATAGGAGGAGCTGTTATATGCCTCGTGTTCATAATTATTGAGCAACTTGCTCTATTTTTATAGGTTAATTCATATATGGTTTGATTTACCTTGTTGTCTGAGATGGTTGTATAGGATTGAATACAAATACAACATATCTGGCTTGCTTTTGCCACTCTCAAGACAGCAATAATGTTTTGAAGAACTGAGAAGTTTTTTTTTTGGTTTTTTTTTTTTGGTTTTTTTTTTTAATTTTATAACCCCCTTATACTTTCTGATTGTATGTAATTTGAGCCTGAGGAAATAAAAACAAAAGTTTATCTTCTTCCTAGCTTTTCCCTCACTGTAATTTCGAAAGAAATCTTTGGGCAATATATCTCGTAGGGCTGGACTCGGGCCGGGCGGCCCGGCCCGGGACCGAACCGGCCCGGTCACTGTTTGGCCCGGCCCGGCCCGTGGCCCGGTGGGTCCACCGGTTCGGTTTGGCCCGGCCCGGGTGCTGGGCGGTCCGGGCTCGGGCCCAGGTTTTAGTGAACCGGCCCGGCCGGTTCGGGCCCGGTCCGGGCCGGATTTTAATTTTTTTTTTTTGAATTTTTTTTAAGTTTTAGGTTGGATTAGGTATTTTGGGCCATTTGAGGTGGTTTGGGATGGTTTGGGGTTGAGGGGGAGGGGTAGGGGATTAAATAGGAGAACAAAAAAAAAAATTAATTGGGCCGGTTCGGCCCGGCCCGGCCCGGTTTGGCCCGGAACCGGCCACCGGCAGTTCGGGCTCGGGCCTCCCCTTTCCTGGCCCGAGTCCAGCCCTAATATCTCGTATGCAGCGGAAGTTTAATAAAGAGAATGCTCGGCTGATCGGCTCTGTCCGATTGAAGTCATTCAACAGTTTGATTGTGACTTGTGAGAATATGGGTTGTTAAAATAGTGATTGAATAGAAAAGAATGTGTACATGGTTTATGAATAGTGGTGGACCTGGTTCGGGCCACCCGGCCCGTGAACCGGCCCGGCCTGGCGGTCCAGGACCGGGTGGTGACCCGAACTGGTGGGCTAGCGAGTGGCTGGCACGGGTAGGGCAAATGGGAACCTAGCCCGGCCGGGCCCGGTTCGGACCCAATTCCATTTTTTGTTGTTTTCTCATTATTTTTGGGTTTCCACCGGATTGGGCGGGGTGTTTTGGTGGGGTGGGGGGGGGGTCAGGGGTAGTTAGGAAAGCAAAAAAAAATTACATTCGACCCGGTCCGGACCCAGACCGGACCCGGTGGATACCCGGGCCGGTCTTGGGTCTACCCATTAAAACTCAAAGGCCCACCGGGTTTAAGCCCGGCCCGGGCCCAACCTGGCCCAGGTCCATACCTTTTTTTTGAAGTATTTGCCCATTTGGTAATCATGATTTGCCTTTTAATAGATTCTAATAATAATTTTAATTTAATACACATACATAGTATTGATGCATTATTAAGATTACTTTTACTTTAAAAAAAAGATTACTTTAAAAAATGGAGAACCCTAAAATATTGGAAGCATTTGTCTAGGTCAACTCTCCCAAAAGCCGGCCCTACATAGTATGATAGTACATATAACACTAGTGGTCTAATTTGATTCATCTGAAACCTAATTTAAAATACTTCGTATCAAATTCACACGTAATTATAATGTCTAATTTGATCATTATCCCTTTTCATGAAGATCACAAACTCTCATTTCATAATAGTACAATTAAAGAAATTTTATAATCATTGTATATACAAGTGAATACTAAGCATTCCCGGGCACGACTTTCATTTTGATAAAACTATATCTGTTAATCTGTACACAAATTAAATTTGCCTCATTTTACGCTTTTCAGCCCATTTGGACGTGCCAAACGGCCTCTAATTTCCAATCTATGAAAAGTGAAATATCAAATACAGAAATGAGAACTCTTTAGACAGCAGGTGATGAGGTTATTATTACTAGTACGGAGTATTACTTATTACTATTATTACAAATACAAATGAGTGGAAAAGCTTGAGGAAAAAATCATATAGCAATGATTAATAATACACCAAATTTAACACAAAATATGACTTAGAGGCAGACACATTGAAAAAACAAAGAGGGCCTTAGTAAAAAAGAAGAAGCCTATTTCCAGAAATCATCAGGCTTGCGGTGCTACAAAACAAAGAAACTTCAAGTGAGACGATAGGATTAACATAGATATAATTATAAAAAAAGAACATATTTCTAACCCATACCCTCTATCCCATAATGAGATCAATGCCAGTATAATATACTTCCCGGAGAAAAGTGGTACTACGTCCGTCCCACTTATATTGGGACGGAAGGGGACACGTTTATTAAGAAAAGTGAGTTTATGTGATTGATATTAATTGATAAAGTAAGAATAAAGTAAGAATGATTTAGAGTCACAGAAACTTTACCAAATTTGGTATGAGACAATTTTAGTGGTATTTCTCGAAAAGGTAAAATGAGACAATATTAGCGGGACGGAGGGAGTATAGAATTGGAGAAAATACATATGAGGAAAAAGGGAATGTAAAATGATAAATTGCAACAGTAGCTAGTTGATCTAATATAGTATTATACTTCGTACTATTATATTATGAACACAACTTGATTTTTGTTCTTACACCTAAAAATCACAAGGCAAACTGAAAGAAAGCTACAGTTACTCACTGGGTCCTAATTAATTACTTAATTAGATTTCCTAATTGCCTTTTATACATGTTAAGCAAACATATGATATGCAAACATTTTAAAATTTAGACTCAAATATTAAGTTCCAATTATGGATGTACTTTGTACAAATAATAAAAATTGGTGTCAAATGGGCTTTCATGTCAAATCACTAAAAATTGAGTAACGTGGAAAGTTGTGGTGTTTTCAAAAAAGAAATGTCAACATATTTACCGAACACAAGAAAAATGAAAGAGGACTTATAAACATATTATTAAGATGAAGATAATCTCTAAAAATATTTAGCATCAAGGTCCAACTAGTACACATTGAAGTAGGAAAATCCTGGGGAATCTAAAAGGAGACAAATTGTGGGGGTTTGAGAAAGAGAGAACTGCACATGTTTGTGGGTCTAAGGTAAAAGAAATGAATCTCGTGTCATTGTTGACAGAGTAAAATAAAGATATATTTACCAGAGATAAAGGCATCCTTGTGCGAACCGCACCAATCATTGATAAGTCAATATCTGCAACACAGATTCCTGTTGAAGAACGATCTGGAAAAAACCAAAAACATAAACTCATAAAGTATGGCTTTACATGTTACCAAGAGAACAACTAATTAAACATGTCTTAGTCATTCCTTTCGGCAATAATCCTCGGTAAAATCATTTCTAGTATGCCATAAATGCAGTTCACATAGGGGTGTGCCCAAACATATCAAACAAAGGAAACCTGCGAGAGAGCACAGATCTCTAAGGGTCTGATAGGATAGAGGGTTAAGAGGTTTTGGAGGGGAAGGCTTTCGAGGGCTTAGACTTATGTTGATAAATAGAGTATTCCTTAAAAACGAATTAGAGGTGATTCTAATGTTATTTGATTACCTATTTTGTTATATATTCAGCCCTCCAAAACTTTCCCCTCCAAAAACCTGCAAAACCCCACAATCTATGCAGACCCTAAAAGAAAAATAAATTTAGCGTTTTGGAATGAGAAGCCAGTGCATTAACATGAACAGTCCTGACCTGGCAATCTCCCAATTATTGTTCCCCATGGATCTATTATTAAAGAGTCACCATAACTCTCTCTTTTTTCATTATGATTTCCTGCTTGAGCAGCAGCTATGACCTGATAAAACATTTACCGTTACTACCCACAAAATAAACGGGGTAAAAGAAGATTACAGATACAAGTAGTTAGAGAAAAAGAATGATGATATAATCTCATTTCGATCTCTGAAGGGAGAAAATAATAGAGCCATATATTTTCTACATGCTTCGATCTTTAGTATATATTCCGTATGAGTTTTACAACACTCCCTTCCTACAGAAAAGGAAACAACAAGAAACTTCATACATAGCATTGTGTCTCGATCGCCCGAGCACGGAGAAGAATTTCCCAGTGTGCCTGACCAGTTGCAGTTGTGAAAGCAGCAGGCACAAGTAAAACCTACAAATAGTATGTCATTGTTTGGGACTTGAGTGCCAAATAATAATATAAAACTAATCAAATAAATAAATGTTAACAAAAAAATGAATAAAAGAATCAAGGAATAAACATGTAAATGCACGATTGATTATAAAAATGCACGAGTATTTGACTTTTGATTGTATTTATATAAAATGAATAACCTGTGCATCATGGAGAAATCGTAGATGCTGATAGAGCTGAGGAAATCTCAAATCATAGCATACTGTCAGTCCTATTCGCCCAAAGGGGCTGTCGACCACAGCAATGTCCTTTCCTAAATGAATACATCAGTGAGGGATAAAAAGTGTCATATTCTGACCAAGAAAGGAACACATTCAACACTATACATCCATGAACATGTCACTTCAAAATAAAAAGGGCAGTTTAATGCACAAAGCATTCCGGCTGTTCAAGGGCCCAGGTAAGGCTTAAGCACCAAATTCCCTCTCAGCCACGGAAGCGAGTAGTTGTCTATCTTCATACCCCTTTCACTTTAAAATCATTCCACTTATTAATAAATTAAAATACTACTCATATCTCTCGAAGGAGTTTTTGGTTTTCTTGTTTGTAAGAGGTAGGTTTAACAGAAAGCTAGAGATTTTTACTTGCATGACTTAAAATACAATATCGCGTAGAGGAAAGCGAAACTCTCACCTGGTTCTGTGAAGCTACTTTCCTTGTAAACCGCACCTCCAGGAACATCCACATCAAACCTTCATCTCATGCAACAAAAAGCAATGCTCATGAGAAAATGTTATGCCAACAGGTTTTCATAACAATAACCATGCAAGGTCAAAAGTCTTACAAATGCATCTTGCTGTATGTACTTCTAATATTTCCAGCATCATCAATTAGTATGTGAGTATTACGCAAGTGTGCATCCTCACTCCCTTTTTCTTGGAATCCTCCAAGTGACAGCCAAATGCTCGACTCTCTTTATTGATAACAAACACATAAGAGCTCTAACTTTATCAAAAATAGTGTTCAAAACACTCAAACCTAGATATATGCAACGAGTTAAGTTTCAGATGGTTTTTGTTTCTGCTTATTGAAACTGATGATGCTTCTTCATGCAACAAAAGATGGGAGAATCAATTTTTTGTAGAATATTTGAAAAATGCTTCTTTTTGTAGATTATAAGACTGTCAAAGTAATTAATTTTAGAGAAAGCTCACCCCATGACAGTTATAAAAACTGATTCTGATAACTATTTGGTTTTAGCTGCCTTTTTCCTGAATCACATAAAATAGTAGTTCTGACAAAAACACTTTGATCTTACTCTTACTTACATATAATAAAATCAATGTCTAACACTTTTCAATTACATAATTAACCACACAGTACACATTCAAATATGCATTGATACCCACTCCCCCCACAACACAAAACTGATTCTGATTCTTAGTCTTTGAACTCCTTTAATTTTCAAACGGCATCATCTTGTTTAGTTAAGTCAACTAATCCGCAAACTACATGTGGACTAGTGATTAAATAATGGTTTGTATGGTTGTCCCAACAACAACATGACACAGTAGGTCCAAATGATAATTGATATATAGACAAAAGAGATTAAACCAAACATTCATCGCACAAAGTGGACAAATGAGATGTTTACTTTGATTTAATAAAGTAGCATTGTGGTAATTGGTAAATAGTACACAAATCAGTGTGCATCATTTCAATGTATAAAGTGAATTACATCCCCATATATATGTAGGAGTGCAATCTCGGGATGAAATGTACATTGACAGTAAAATGTAATGACATGTTGATGGCTAAGAGTTTGTGAAAGAGCTGAACGCTTACATGTAAAATTATACACATTTATCTCACAATGTGTTTCTAATAATTGAAGTAGAATTTGTATGTGCTTTATTAGGAAGGCACCCTTTTTACTTGATCTTGGCCTTGAAATAATACTAGGTCTGCCTTTCTATTGACTACCGTAGCCTCACCTTGCAAGAGAACAGTATCCTGTCACAATGGGTCCATCCAGTGGCTCAACAATTTTAAGACTGTCCCCTTGTTCGACACCCACATAAGAGAAATTTTCAGGAAGACAAAGCAATTTTGCACCAGCTGAAGCAGCTTCCTTTAAAAATAACGAAAACATGAACTGTATTAAAACACTTAATCGCAACTGGAACAATGAATATGCTATGAGTGCGGTTTGGAGAAAAGGATGACGGAAGATAGAGAACCAATAGATTTGGCAGAACAGGGGGCTACTTCCAGTCCTTGGTATAGATAAATTTGATGCTTAGAACATCCTTAATACAATGGTGTGCACAGCGGACATGTGACACGTGAGACATAGACAAAAAAGATATACTCCGTAGTAAACAATAATTCTCTCTTTTGCTTTCTCTATTCCTTAATATTTGTGATAGCTTTACTCCAAATGGATAGCTCTAGAAATTCTGCTTGATATTGTGAGGAACAAGCTACCAAAAACATAGTAAGTGGTTAAGAGAAAGAGACAACTTCATTTATTTCTTTTTATGTACCTATCTCTCATGTCACACGTAGATCATGCACATCATTGGGTGCTCTTAACATTCCCCAAAACACATGATCTAACTCTAAAATCATTTGTTTCATCAATTAATACAAATATTCTATTTATATTGCTCGCATAGACATGGTGAGCAAATACTGGAGTCCTAATCATTATGAACCATTATGAGCAAGTATTAGAATCCTAATTATTAGGATATATTTATATCAAGAGTATTATCTAAAATTTAACATATACTAGGAAAAACTATTTTTAATATTAATAATACAAAAACCATTACTAATATCACTAATAAGTAATGACTAATTAATAATAAATGACTATTGTGATATGCCATTATTCGTTTGCACTAGTTCTTCACCCGAAAGGATGCAGGCAATAATTAAGATTTAAGATCATTCCCAGTGACAGAATTAACAATTTAGGTTTCTCATATAATTGTTCGAATGCAGTTATGTAATTAATTAGGATTGAAGAGATTGCGGTTACCTTTACTAGACGCGAGCAAGTAGCGAAGTTAGAGGCGAGGTCATTAACAGATGTCATTTGAGCGGCGGCAACTCGGACTAAGCTGGCCATTGCTACGAACTTCCTGCCGGAGTCCCGCGGAGGTGGTGGGGTCGCTAAAAACTTGAACGAAGGGGAAATTGGAGTATTGGGACGCAGGTGAAGACAACAGGCCATAGTCCCGTGGGGTTGGGTCGCTAAAAACTACGAACTCGGACTGTTAAAATGTTTTAACAGCCCCTTCTTTCCATCATTTGATGAAACGACCCCTTATCATACCAAATTTCTAAAAACATGCTTTGACTATTATACTCCTTATTTAAAAACAGATCAACTAACATGGAGAACCAGATCGGCAAAAACAATCGCAGATCTCTCAACAATGAAAACAAGCGCAGACTTAACTGCGAACACAATCGCAACCTGAATTCTTTTCCATAGCATCCGGTTGAATCGCAACCGGAAAGGGAAACCAAGAAAGCCGGCTACGGAAAAAGTCGATTTTTCTTCACTTATGAAGAAAACTGTGTGCCACTAGTCCAAAATTTGTGAGATTTTTTTCGATCGAAGTTAACAAATTGTTCGCCGACAGCGAAGCCGTTACCAAGAAGTGCGGAGAAGTGAAAGAAGACTCCTACTAAGCAAAACTGAAGCATAAACAGAGTGAAGGAATGGGTGCAAAATAGAAGGAAACAAGGGAGAAAATGAAGAAAACACAGAAAAGGAGGATTTCAGACGATGATTTCGAAACAATGGGGAAGAAATAAACAACGAATGAAAAAAAGGAAGAAGAGAAACTAAAGGTTCTTCCATGTGCCTAGGTAATATCAACTACTTTTGTTTAATATTCTGAAAGTATGAAGTAATGAGTACAATACAGATTGGGCAATTTGCTGCAATTATCAAATATTTGAGTTGAAATTACTGACTTCAAAAGTTAGAAGATATGCATCAGTGTTTGATTTGATATGATGTGATTAATTGTGATTTTGGTATAGTTCTCATAGAGAATGATTTCAATTTGTTTTTGTCAATTGATGTAGTGCTAAGAGATTGTGGTTTTGATACAGTCTTCATAGACATGATTTCAAATGATGTTTGGTCAATTATTGTTGCTCGATTGAGCTTTATTAATGACACGAGTATCATTGTATGATTGACATTTTTATAAGATCATAAAGACAATTAATATATCACTAATGAGTGCATGACAGAGAAATTAGATGAAACTTTTGTTGAAATTGAGAAGCTCACAATAGAGGATAAAATCATAACAGAATCATGTATGAGTTTCAAAAGAGCTTATGATGAGCAACTAATCATGGACTTTAAGCTATGAACTGGCTAAGATCACGCTATTCTTCAATGCAAAAGTAAAAGTGATATTGAAATGGTGTGCAACAGTCCACAATAACAGGATGAGTATGTACAACATAAACTTAATAGCTTCAAGTATGCTTGATAGGGTAGCTACTGAGGTTTGATAGGGTAGCTACTGAGGTTTCAAATGATGACATGGAGATGTACCAAGAAAAGATGACAACAGAACCACATTTGTATGCATCAACAAAAAATAGCTTTACTAAGTGGTTCTTCCCATATGTATCATAAACAAGCACATTTGTGGTGGTTAATATGTAATTTGACACTTCAATATGTATTGTTCGCACATCTCAATATGTTTGGAAGTATTTAAGTGGTTAAGTTGTACAGGTGCAGTTAAACCTTTTATTTTAAGACCCGTATTAATGTCTATTTTATGCTAAAATGCAGACATTAAATTTCACTTAATGTCATGTATTATTTGTGTTACAAATCAAAATCCAAAATGCAATCACATACATCTTTTATAGTCAAATTATTTAAGAAATGAGTCTTAAAAGTAGGTAATTAAGAAATCAATGTTTTAGTCATATCATCTAAAGGTATCTTAAATATTTCAAATACAAAAAATAAAACGCGGAAAAATAAACTATTGTCTTTTAATAAATTTATAAATCAATTGTTGCTTATATCAATTAACTTATATTGTATACAAAAAGGGATTCTTCGTACTTGAATGTCTTGGTCAAAAGAGGTATTTGCTGAGAAATATTATATATGAGTCAGACATTAATTACACAATAAAAGTCAATAACTAGACAGTAAAAAGACAATAAACATAAAGAGCTATAGTTGATATTTAGAAATTGACCGAAATCTTGATCAAAGATTCCAGCTAGTTTCTGAAATGGCCATTATTTATTACTAAGTACAAACTTTAGTACAAAATTATGAAACAACTATGAAACGTAATAGATTCAACTGTTAAAATGATATCTTATTATATTTCTTATTCATAGGTACAATACAAATCACATGAATATGATCATAAAGGTCTATACATTTCTTTTTTTAGGTCCATACATTTCTTTTGAACATAAAGATAGATGTATGATTCGAAAAATAGAGGGCTCTGCTTAAGGTATACTTATAGACATTAATCAGTCTGTAAATAGACAATAATTTAAAAAATATCAGCTAATAAACTACACATCTAATAAGAAAAAGGTTGAGCATGAATAACAAAATTACATGAATGCTTTAGAAGAAATATGTACAATATAATTCAAAACTATGAGTCTTTGTGTAGTTTATGCACTCCCACACTATTTCTGGGGGGGGGGGCTCATTAATTTAAATGCTTGCATTTGTTGCCTTCTTTATGTGAACCTTTTCATATGCATTGCCCCTCTTCATCTCATTACTTCAATCATGCATAGCAGTAAACATATGAATACATGATTCAAGGAATGTGGGTTGTATCCTTGCAGTTCTGGACAAGTTCGGAAAAATTTGTTGTTGGGCATATATCCTTTAAAGACTGAATAGGCCGGAATAGGGCGAGATCAAGGATGTTCACATCCGGACTATTTGACGATTGATTGATTGATTACACATCCATTTCCATCTGTTGCATTGCCAATTTGAATTCATGACCATCTCCCCATATATGTGGCATTACATTATCTTGTTGGATGTAAAGTGTCATGTGATATCCCAATGACCATTTCTCCTGCATTATTGGTAGTAGTTTACTGATGATCATGTTCATATATGTTTGTTTGTTCACAACTATTATTGACTTCAATTCTGGTGTGCCCTTGGGTCTGTTTTTGCTCTTCCTTGGTGCCTCCAAGATGTGAATAAAAGGCCACATCCTTATCTTACCATGAAAAGTACATTAACCTAAATCATTGAATCTCGGACTACCTACTACACATAATATCATGACTCTCACTATGAACCTTTTGCTTTTGGTTGTTCTGTGTGGCTTTATTTCACCGGGTACCAGATTATACTTTTGGTGTATTTCTTCCATTTTCACTAATTGATGTATAGTTGTTGCAGGAACCCCCATAGATGTTGTAGTGCTTCTAATTGAACTCCTTTGGTTGAACGAAAGGGCTGACAGTGTGACCATGTCCAATTCTTTCTTCTTCATTCTACACTTTCCCTTCCTCTTGGAGTTAAGGCTGACAGTTTCTCCTTTATCCCTGCATTCCTCAGATGTGTTTCATATCCTGTAAATGGTTTGACAATTGATGCTAAAGAAAGATTTAGCTTCCATGAACCCACCTCACCTAACCGTTCCATGGATTGACATTTGGTTTAGGAAGTCCATTACTTTTGCACGCTCTGTGGTGATGAGGTTGTGATTTTCCCTTGGTATGTTGGGTTTGGATGATGTGTTAGAAATGTCAGTGGTCTTGGACGGCTTGGAGATCACAACCCTGCAACACACCCTACTCACAACCACAGCAACATGCCCTACGAAGGCTACCAGAAAACAACCAGACCAAAACACCCTCTATGATGACATTTTTTAAATGGGGTTTTGTCCTCTATTGTGACCCCCTTGATGATGATGACAAGTCTCAGAGGTGCCCTCGATTATCACCCTAAGTCTGAGAAGTATGAAATATTTCTTACATTTGAGAAATATGTTGATTGATTCTTGGTCGGTTATAAAAATATTTATGTTGTACGAAGTGAATGATTTAGACTTTCTATTTATAGTTGGCTGAAAATTTGGAATGATTATGACTCCAAAAGTTGAAAAAGTGGCGCAACTTTAGGCCTTGTTGTTTCCGACCTTTGTATGTAAATGGAAAAGATTTTTCATGTGTTAAACTGCCAATTACTTTATCTACAATGTTATTTACTTTATCTACAATACACCTATATAATACGGAGTACTCCTTAAACTATGTGAAAAGCCTAATGGGACATATACACAACTCATCGAGCGAAATCCAAATTTACGTGTTTGGTGAAAAAATGACTGATAAATAAAAAAACATGGTCACCAAACTGGCTCTAGGTTTTATTTTTATTTTGTAATGCTTGATTAACTGATTTATTTTTAAAAAATCACATATTTATGACTAAAATGTGATTTGTACATATTTATTTTAAAAAAATTCACATTAACTGATCATGCTGAATTATGAAAGGATTATACTTAAAATATATTTTATTAATAAAATAAAGAAAAAGTGTACGAAAATAACTTAAATGACACTCTACAGTAACTTTAGTCAATCCATCAAGAAACGTAATCACAACTTTACTTATATTGATTGTTACACAACTCAGTGCGTGAAATAAAAACTTACTTATTTTGTGAAAAAGTTGTTATAAGGATGATAAACTCAAAAACATGATTTTCCAAGAGGCTTGACTATATAATAATAACTTTAATAATAGATAGATTTTAAAAAATCATGGTTTTTTGAAATCGGATGAATACTTAGAAGTTGTGGTGGAATGTTTTGTAGATAGAAACTCATCAAAATCAATTAAAATTTATCCAAATAAGTAATAATAAAAATGCACTGAATGTTTGAGAGCGCCATTATAGTCATAGTTTCTACATAAATCCAAATCGGAGACACCTAAATTCTGACGAAGTTATAACATCATTAAAATTCTCTGGAATCCATATCAAGGACCCCCTAATCATATTTATATTGAAAAAATATTTGATTAATATATTTTTTTGAAAGGAATTTCAATAATATTTATGAAGAAACACGTTATTTAAATCCATCATATTTGTCTTTTGGAAATAAATCTCTCACGATAAATTTTCATGGGAAATTAGAATTAAGTATTGATAAACAACTTATCTGTGGGGACAGATGAGTGTCAATAACTTATCTGTTATTGACAAACAGTTTATTTGCGTTATACTCCCTCCGTAATAAAAAAATCTTCCCACTTTCCTTTTTCGTCCGTAACAAAAAAAACTTTCCACTTCTAAACCTTCCCGTCATACCCTCATATGAATACACTTTTCTTTCGTATTACAGGCTTCACCATATACTCCCTCCTGAGATTCCACTCTGAACCCCAAAACCCTCACTGCCAACTTGCGTCTTTTCATCAGCCGTTTTAGCTACCACGCTCATGGCTGCAACAGCAAAGCTCGCGAAATCCTTCCACCGCTCTCTTCCCACCGCCCGCCGCTTTTATTCTACCGCTCGCGTTATCTCCTGCGATTCACCATCTATTACTCAGCAGCCGGACCTCCCTTCGGCCCGTTGCTCCCCGCAACCCTCGTTTCTCATTTCCCACTCCATTCTTCCTTCCAACCCGTATGGGATCAACCCCGTCCGCTTCAACCCGGCCCGACTCCGCGTCAACCGATCCGGCAACCCGTCATACAATCCCGGTTCCAGTGACCGTCCTCCAACCGAGATGGCGCCGCTCTTCCCTGGCTGCGATTATGAGCACTGGCTAATTGTCATGGATAAGCCCGGGGGTGAAGGCGCGACCAAACAGCAGATGATCGATTGCTACATTAAAACCCTTGCTCAAGTCGTCGGAAGGTAATATATACTACAATTCCTGAACTATTATTTCGCAATAGGTAACTGATAACTAGTATCTGCAGCGAAGAAGAGGCAACGAAGAAAATTTACAATGTTTCTTGTGAGAGATACTTTGGTTTTGGTTGTGAAGTGGACGAGGAGACTGCGAATAGGATGGAAGGTTTGGAGTGTCTTATTTTAGACCTAATAACTGAATTGCATTTTGAGCTTGAACAGTTAAATATGTGTAAGTTTGATTTTTTATTTCACAGGTGCGCCTGGAGTTCTGTTTGTTCTTCCTGATTCATACGTTGATGCTGAATATAAGGACTATGGAGGTAAGTTTAACCTTACTTCATTTTGATTCCTTACCTTTGCACTTTCATCACTTCATGATACACCCATAGCTCTTCTATATGGAGTATGGACAATCATTTCATGTTATCAAAGTCAACACCAGAGCTTGAAGAAATGTGCCCATTTGACTCACACCCTTCTTAGTTTGTTTCCCCTTTTTAATGATCATTCTAAATTTTGGGAAAATCTGTTTACTCCTCTATAGAACTTTGGGTTATAAGAGTTTATATGGCTGGATCAAAACGCATCTACAATATTGAAAGAGATTTCTTATGGCACACATCAAAATTCAAAGATTATTCCTGATTTAGGAAATAGAGACCCAACACCACTGAGGTTGGGATTATTCCTTTTATTCAAAATGGGTTTATAACAGTCACAACCACTGCATTAATTCCTACATATCAGTAATTTGTATATCATATTTTCTAAACCTCCAGAGACATTTATTTTAACCTATTGGAGTTTTTTTATCCAATCATAATCAGGTAAAATAAATAAAAAATATGCATTTAAGTTGTCATTCTCATGTTTTCCAGAATTTGATTCAATCTCTGTTAATGACTATTCATAAAGTAAAAAGGACCAAGTTGGATCTTATGTCTATTCACTGAATGATGGTAATGAATGTTGTCATTTCATATTGATACAATCAATAATAAATAAACTGGACTCATAAATTGGAAATCTTTATCTTCTTGATTTCTTGATCCAGCCCACCTCCAAAAAATCTGGAAAATCTTTACCTGTTCTCTGCAAGCATATCCAATATCCATTCCGATTTTTCTGACAGTGCATTGTTCACACTGTGTTACTTATTCTTGTGTGATTTTGCTTTAATTTATATGCCAACCATTAAGAGTCTTCGTTGATGAAACAAAGTTAACTTTTTATCTAATTTGCCAAGAAAACTCATATATGTAAGTCACATGTGAAATAAATTCAGTTAAATCAACAAAGTATTATAAGTTGTCCCATTTTTTTAATGAGTAACCTTAATTATATTTTTCATGTCTTCGCAGCTGAATTGTTTGTTAATGGGGAGATAGTGCAACGATCACCTGAACGACAGAGGCGAGTAGAGCCCGTTCCTCAGCGGGATAGAGTACGGCCCAACACGCGATACAACAGGCGTAGAGAGAACATGAGATGAACTCTTGAATATATAATGTCTAGAAATGGCTCTCTATTCTGTCTTTTGAACCATTTAATCATTTAGTGTTTGGACTCCGCAATATGTTATTTTGTCTTGGGTTATGTAATTTGTTTAGGTATAATGGCAACAGATTGCATTGACCCTAATTGCTCTTTATTGATTGATCTGAAAAGTTTTTACTTTGGTTCTTTTATAGGAATCATTGTATCTTTACCATCTATAACTCTGTAAGCTGAAAAAGGGCTGAATCAACTCTGTTCATAACTTCATATACATGTCTTGCCTTACTGTTCTAAATAGATTCTTGTTTAGTTTACCAGACTTACAGATTATTAGGGAATTCAACAATTATAAACATATAATATAAACATCTATTTACATGATGAGTAAACGAACATAAACATTTTTCGTACAATGTAAAGAATTTCAACAATTATAAGCTCTTTATATTAGGTTTTAAGTATCTGCCGCTACATGAGCTTCCTTCAAAAAAGAGTACAAGAAGCCTTGTATGTACTTTTTCAATCCCCTTTTATAAGTGAAAATTGGCTATTTTTACTATGAAAGGAGTAGAGTCAGCATATTCTGCAAATCAAATAACACACGCATTTACCAATAAGGCAATAACTTGAGAAAATGTAGCCGATATTTATGTCTTCCTTTGGCTTTACCCTTTGCCTTATAGTGTGCTTATGAGGAGAACAAATAGGTTTTGACTTATTAGGCAAAGATAGATGCTATCAAACACTTCTCTTTTAAAGAAAATTTGGCATAGCCATTTCAGCCAAATAATGCGCTTCACCAGACAGGAAATGAAATTTACCTCTCTTCTTGCCAAGGGGAAACAAAATTTTCTTGTGATACTTCACGCTTCGGCCTTCACACCATCAGGGCATCTAGTTGTAGTGCTGTGCTTTTTATTTTTCTTCAACTTTGCTTTCTTAGCAGCTTTTCTCCTACGTTTCTTCTCATTGGCGTCAACCCAGGTATAATCAGATGGGATTTGGAATGGGTCAATATCGTTTTGAGAACTGCAGCTTTCACTGACACTGCTAGATTGCTCATCCCGACTCACCCCTCTAAGCCACGAAGCCCATGAGACGGTTGGTCCCTCCCAGTCTGCGGGTTCAGAATCTTGGAAGTGTGTGGGGCTTGAGGGCGGGGTTGAGAACTCTTCCAGTGGCTGAAGTTCCTCAAACTTTGTAAAGGTAACAACTACACGGATTGTGGGTACTATTGGGACAGCAATCTGAGATAGATGCAGCATTACTTTAAGATTGAAGCAAAAGCAAATTAAAAAAAAAAAGATCTTTAATCACCTTGACAGGGAATGTGCCAGGTGGCAGCTTTGTGGTTAGGACCTCCCTCAATCTTCTTACAGCTTTAACCTTGTTGGCTAATATATCAAGTAAGGGAAGTAACTCTTCTGTTCTCAATGGGAAATCAGGCGTCAACCACAAAACAGGTCTCAACCCCTTTTTATACTCGCTCTCATTCTTACCCTCACTTGATGCCTGCCCTTTTTTCTTCTTCTTCTTGCTGCTTTTATCATCATGTTTGCTCTTCTTGTTATCACTACCTATCCTTTGTTTTTCATCTTCAGGACAAGTGTACTTTGAGCTTTTCTTCTTACTATTACTATTCCATCCTAACCAACTCTTCTTTTCTTTGTTATTACTACAGCCCTTACTAGGCTCCTCCTCATACTCAAGAAGATCATCTGAATTCTCCCCACGAAGTGCATTTTCTAACTGCACCCTTTCCTCCTCCGTCAACACATCGCACTCAATGCCATCTTCACCCTCATCCACTGTAAAAAGCTCTTCATCCGTCACAGCACCAGGGACCCGCCGTGACTTCACACTAACCATAACATGGAGCATATCATAAACCCTAGCCTTCCACACGCCAACCATCTCCGTCTTCTCATGTCGTCTCATCCAATTCATATGCGGGACGAGTTCAGCCTGAGTCACGTCTATGCCCGGCCTGTACATATTCGTCTTACACATCAACTTTACTTCACGCCAAACTTCCGCTTCAGTTGGTTCCACTCCCGCCCCTTCCAAGGCATTTGTTATCTCTTTCTCAGGATGGGACAGTACTATCAATGATCCTGGGGGCAAACTGGAAATGATCTTCCCATTCTCATCATTTGAACAAATATTCCCATCATACCCCTTCCCTAGGAAGAGAAAGGTTTGGTCAGAGCGTTGGATGTGGAAGCTGTCAAATCCGGCGAGTGTCATGTCCGCACGGAGATTAGCTCCCCGTTTCCATATCCGGTAGGTGTCTGAGGGTGCAATTTTTCCAATGAAGGGCAAAACAGAGCTCTCGAAATGGAAAGTTATCTCCATGTAGAAATCGCGGATCCTGGAAGCAGAAGCTACTATCCGAGGGAGGCGACGGCACCACTTGGCCCAAGCTAGAGGCTGGTAATGCCTTGCAATGATCTTAGCAATGTTCTCCTCCCGTAAGCACACGGCCTCCTGTAGGGCACTCCATCCCTTGTCGTTCTGGAGACTCCAATCGGCGCCCGCTGACATCAGAATCTCAGCTGAAATCGGGTCCCGCATCTTAACCGCGAGGTGTAAGGGAGTCTCGCGGCCGTGGACATCCCGCCGGTCGATTACGGCGGAGACTATGTCGGCGTCGTTCTCAGCGGCCAGAGACTCTGCTTCGTTATTTACCGCCCCGGCCTTGGCAAGCCGAGGCAAGGATGACACGATCTCCTCCAAAGCAGCATGATCTCGTTTCGCCACCGCTAAATGAGCAGGACTATGCACATAATTGGAAAATTGATCCATTTTGCGTTTGCCGACCTAGTTTCACATCCTTCCTCCAAAAACCCAGTTAGAAATCGAAACTCCTATCAAAGCAATTACGTATTTACATTTTTCTTTCGGAACATAACATTTAGATGAATCAATAACAATTTACAAAATGAACCGCACAAACAAATTCCAGTTACACTCGACCTCCACTCCAAATCTGACCAGACAAAAACAAGGGGACAAAAACGAAATAAGATAACAGAAAGGGAGGAAATGAAAGCCTAAAAGGCGTAACATTACCCATTTATCATGGAAACATGATTCCCATATAGACACAGAAGAGAGGCGTGCACCTGAAGAAATTGAGGCGGTTGGAGGGAGGATGGTTTGAAAAGGGTGGCGGGCGGTTTGATCTTTGCGCTCTTTCTCTATGAGTAATATTA